AAGGGAGTTCACCAAATATTATACATTTTGAGTGTTAAAAATTACTTCCAAATTGTACAAGTGATGTGCGGGTCCTCTATGCACAAACACATCAATAACAACACCTAATAAATTGTTTGTTTACGTTCCAATCAAGAAAATAGTGAGAGATAAATGGCTAAAGCTCGCAAGGCGAAAACCATCAGATATAAGCAAGAATACAAAACTTAATTTATGTGACAACTTTGATGTAAGTATTTCTTTTAGACTGATAGGGACTAATTCAGAATGTTTTTGAGATTAAATATCAATTATATAAACACTATATTAATAATTTTACAATTATCATTCCCTATAGACTATTTATTCTCCTTTCCGCTGCCTAATGATATGGAAAACTATATGAAGTATGAAACTAATGGGTTTTTCGGGTTTTTACGCCGTCGTTGGGTAGAATCTTCTCCAACGAGTGGCTTGCATTTTAAGAAGTGGTTTACTTGAAGGCTTCCACTGTTCTGATGTCATTCCTCGGGCGCAGTCCGTATTTATGCACCGTATGCGATGACGTGGTTTGTGATGACGTGGCCTGTGTCATCGGAGCCTGCGCAATCTGTTGGCTGTTGCTATCCTCCGGTGTACTAGATCTTCTCTCGTGTCCTGAGCTGTTGCTTCTTCTTGCTCTTTTTGCGTTGCTGAGTGCTGGAAACCATATTCTGTTTAGCGCCATTGCTTCTTCTTTTCTGTTGAAATTGTCGTCGTGTTTGTGTATTTCAATGGCTTCTCGTATTAGTCGGGGGCGATACCCTGTTGTTGTGGCCAGGACCTGTGCCTCTCCGAAATAGATGTTGTGTGTTCCATCGCCGAGGGCGTGTTCCGCCACTGCCGACTTTTCCACATGTCCCAGTTTACAATTCCGTCGGTCTTCTTCTATTCTCGTCGCAATCGATCTCTTACTAGTTCCTATGTAGACGCTTCTACAGGAGCATGGAATTCGGTAGATTCCTCCAGTTCCGGGGCGGGGTCTTCTGTCTTTAACTGACCTCTTAACATTCTCGGATCTTTGCTGTGGGCTTGTAGACTGTTCTTATGTTGTGTTTCCTCAGGAGCCTCCCAATTCTGTCCGTAACCCTGGGAACRAAGGGCAGGAAAGCTTTCATAGTGGATTCACTTTTTTCCGCACGGCCYACTCCTACATCTTTTTTGATGTCCAACTGGGAATAAGCGTTCTTAAAAAAAGCTTTTTGAGATGTTATGGCCCACATATTTTTCTGGCTCTATCCATGAGAGTTTTAATGATTCCCTGCGTCTGACTCGGATGGTGGTTAGATAGTTATATAGATAGATATATGCATGTGCGGGTGGCATTTCGATATACCTTGTGGTTCAAACGATTCCCCTGCCTAGACAACAAAACATCCAGGAAGGCCAGTTGGTGGTTTTGTTAAACTTACAGAGTAAATTGGATGTCTGGGTGCTGTTTGGTTAGATGATCGAGAAAGATGTCCAGGTTTTTGCGTGCATGCCTCCATAGCACGAACGTGTCATCGACATATCGGTACCAGATCGTTGGTTTAGGGGGTGCGGTGCTCAACGCTGTTTCCTCAAACTTCTCCATGAATAGATTCTCCACCACTGGACTGAGTGGGCTTCCCATGGCTACTACTTCCTGTTGTTCGTAGTAATCTCCATTCCACAGGAAGTAGCTGCCCTTTAGAGAAGCCTTGAACAGATTTGTTGTACTCTCTTCAAAAAGCTCCGCCACTAATTCTATGGATTCTTCCATGGGTCCCTTTGTGAATAGAGATACAACATCGAAGCTGAGGTCTTGGATCTTCTTAATGAAATGTTCGGAATTCTTGATGTATGTTTCTGTAGACCTCAAGTGTGGCTGCAGAAGAGAGGATAGATATTTTGCTATATCGTAAGTTAGTGATCCCGGGGCACTGACGATTGGTCTTAGTGGTATTCCTTCTTTGTGAATCTTCGGTAATCCATACAAACGTGGGGGAGGGGCTTCTGACCTAATAATCCTCTTCACCCAACGACGGCCTAAAAACCCGAAAAACCCATTAGTTTCAAGGAATGGCCTCGAAACTCTCTTGAGATTTATGGAGTATGATTTGATGGGTAACCTTTCTAAACCTGAAGCTAAGGAAACAAAACAAATAGCTAGCTTGAGGATTCACATTGAACGATTCACGTTAAAAGCACATGCTTGCCTTAACATAAGTTTGGTCAAAGTTCTTGATGATGTAATGAAAATAGCGTGTGGTTTAATTAATTTACAAGATTATCTAATTAAATAAATATACTTATTAAATATATGCATTTTTATTTTCTACTCTATACTTTTATACAGCAAATCTGACATATTTTCATGAAAAAATTGTATAACTTTGTGTGTCACAAAAATAACGTATGATATAAATTAAAAAAAGTGTTATAAAAGGCTTGTGTGAATTAAATTATCGTAAGCACTAAAGATGAATTAGATTGTACTTACAAAGAAGTTTTCACATTACGAAACTCAGAAGAGGAAAAGTCTTTATTGGATGCAAAAAACTCCTCCAACATTAACATATCAACTCTGAGCAAGTTAGAGCTGTTGGCCTTGATAAATCCTTGTTCCATCGTTGTTAATTCCTTTAGCAGTTGATTCCTGTAGATTATTTAGCACAAAACCATGAACAAATAAACTGATGCTATAGGGCTATTACCATAGAGAAAGTAAAATAATTTTACTTACTCTATGGCTATTACCACGTTATTACCACGTTATTACCACAACTGATACATAGGGTGTGTTATTCCTTCAAGGGTCGTGACGTCATGCGATCTGATTGGCGTTTCAAGCAATATGGCCGACTGCTGCATTTTATACCTTTGTTATATTAAAAATCTTGTCGATCCCATCATTTTTATCAGGAATGAGTCGATTTTTAGAATCCTTTCAACATATATTTTTCTCTAAGACCATTATTTCTTTGATCCATTTATACTGTCGTCATGCCTATTGCAGAAGAGCCTTTCAGGGGCACACAGAACATTGCACAACAACTGACACTTTCCCTGGCATCAAATAAATACCGGATACATTCCTACCACGTATGTAAGATCACATTAAACCAATGGAATACTGAACACCGGTATAAATTGAGCAGTAGTTAATTAACCGAATATGAGAAGCTGCTCGAGAAGAGTGCATAATAAAGTACACCGCCAATCAGTATTTTTCAGTCACAGGTTCCATGTGTGACTGTTCCAAGCTCGTACCAGTTCCAAGTTTCTGTGATTTTTTGTCACATGTTATTTTGGCCCATGATAAATATTGGTTTGTACCTGAAACCGGGCTGTAGCGTATTTAGTCCAGTTAGATTAGATTTTAAAAGGCCGGTTTCGGGCACTAAAAATATGAAGGTAAAAGTATTAAAAGATTATTGGAAGTTGTTCGGAAGGATGTCAGAATATTGAGACAATAGTTTGTGCTCGATTTCCGGCTGTGGAACATTGATTATAAATGTTTTTAAACGATGTTCCACAGCGTTCCACTTTCTTTATTTATCTATAAATAAAAGAAAGTGCGAAAGCCCGTTTTTTGTGCATAACTGTTGAACCGTTGATGCTATTGAAAAAAAGTTTTATCCTTTTTTTCAAGTATTATAAATACCTATGAAATCAGGTAAACTAGATTAAAATTCGTTCATTTGTTTATTCAAAAATCTAAAAAAAAACAACGTCGATATCAGCGTTTTGTTAATTTTCTATAATTAACTTAGTTTTGTTTTAAGAAAATCGTACTAAAAATTTAAAAAAATGTGTACTTTTATCTGTTTAGTGCCCGGAAAAATCTGATCCGACTGCACTAATTATTTCAATAAAGGATATCCACGCCACTTCCTAGTAATTTGGGTGCGAATCTGCTGGGTGAGCGATATATGATGACCGAAGAGCGAATGCCTTTTGTTCCTTTATGTATGCAAGGGCTGATGGTCAAAAAAAGTCATAACATTTTTTATGAGTAACGTTTTACCATTTTACCGAAACTTAAGGGCAGTAAAATGTGAACATTTTTTGCCTATCTCCTATTTTCATGCTAATCACTGACTACAATTCATATTATCGCTTAATTAAAAATTGGCCATTTAATACTGCAGCTATGTTTGATATAAACAAATACTAAAACAAGTCCAGACTAGGTAAATAGCGCCTATACAAATTTAAATGTAGTTCGTCCACTACGTTCGATTTCACGATTCAACGTTCGATTAGTAATCGTGATTTTCGATTTGTGTACGTCTGACCAGCAGGGTGACCAGACTGAGAAATGGCGGTGTCGCCAACTACCGGACGACGGTCACCAAAAATCATCGGTTTTGGAGCCAAGTAAACTCAAACGCGGTAAACAAAGCGGAACGGTTTAATTAACCAAGAACTTTCTTTTTTTCTAACAAGTTGAACTGAAATTATTTACCTATTGTCGTGCAGAGAAAGCCCATTTACAGGGGAACCACATTCTGCTGACAAAAATTAAAAATAAAAAAATTGCGTGCATAGCGGGAGCGCGCGTATCGGATAGGAAAACCCCGTTAACGGGGCTTTTTTTAGTAGAGTTAAAATCACTTCCTTGGAAAGGGAGTTTTTAAAACAATTTTTATTTTAATTGACATGGATTTCAGCTTCAAGATACAACTGTTTGTTATTACAGGCTTGTGTGAATATATACTGAATTAATGCTGATGAGTTTACATGCTATCTGTGAAACTAAAGAACATTATGTACTTTGTAAGCATAATTGGATATTTCCTTATGCTTAGCTGCGAAATAGAATATCATGAATTTGTGAAGTTGGCTAAATAGGATATCATAACTGTAGTAGATTTTTTTTAGTAGTCAGTAGTCTCAAATGCCATGAGCACAGAATATCCCTCCCGGGGGGATGATCTGTGGCCATGAGAATCAAGTCAAAAAGTGCATTCAGCAGGATTCAGCAAAAATGTACATCATCATGAGGCCGATGACTTATCGCGAACTGATCAATTTTGTCTGCTGAATGTGGCCATTGCTATTTGTCGAATCATGGTTGCATGGATTCGAAAATAATCAGGTCCATACATACAAAACTTTACCACTTCATGAGAATAAAATATCTCCTTTCACTAAAACTCGGGCCAATTGACAACGCCGCGGGGAATCAAAAGGCACAAATGCAGGTATTTGCCTTTTTGCTTTGTTGAAATATCGAAATCCCAGATGTTGTTCTGGGACTGACCAGCATCGTAGGCGAGCCCTGTTATTTCAAATCACATGTTATTTTAAATATCGATAACAGGTACCGACTGTTCCATATCGATATCTGCTCCAAAATACCAGTGACAAGTATTTCGTGTCATCCCTATTACACAGGTACTTGTTTGTAGTTACAGACTCAAATGTATGTTTTTGTCATTTGTAAACAAATTAATAATTCGAGGTTATGAGTAACAGAAATGAGAAATAGGTTCCGTCAGTCAACGATTCCTGTTGAATTTAACCTTTATACTTGTCTATTTTATTGTCACTTTCTCTATTTACCCATGGTTATCGGTGTTTTAAATAATTACGAAGCAACAGCTATTTACGCAATGTTAATTAGGCAGATTACCTTGAAAAACTATGTTGCCATTTTTCTGATATCGTTTTTTGCAAATTTTTCAGTTTTTAATAACAATTAACTTTTTTTACTATTTTTTCTGTACTACTAACGGCCAACTGCACCGCTTCGGCTTAGGAGTTAAGTGGAACTTAATAATTTAAGTTGACTGCACCGCAGTTTAAGCGCCAGTCTAAGTGGCACTTAGCCTAAGCCGTACTCGCGGTTCGGCTTAGCCATAAGTGGGACCTATACGCAAGCATCGCGGGTTGGTTGACGGGTTACAAATATGGCGCACGTTGAAGCACCATGCGTTTCGTCCCGGGCCTACCTATTTTACTCGTCAGTAAGGCTTAGGGCAGGGCCTACCTAACATAATATAACATGTGATACCGGATCACCGGTCATGACCCCCATGACCCCCTCCCCCCTGGATCCGCCATTAATAGGACTACTGGGAGACTATGAAATCCTTCCAAATAAAGTCATGCGTATGCGTTTGTTGCGACACCCTGTATATATTTTAGAACAACAAATGGATGGTTTCATCATCATCATCAAGCGACCAGTTGCGTCCACTGCTGGACATAGGTCTCCCGTAGCTTTTTCCATCTTGGCCGATCCTGTGCTGCCTCTATCCAGTTGGTCTTTATACTTTTGATGTCGTCGGTCCATCTGGTTGGTGGACGGCCTCTACTTCTGTATGCGTCATGGCGCGGTCTCCACTCAATTATCCTTTTTGTCCAGCGATTGTCCGTAAGTCGCGCCACATAACCGGCCCAGTTCCATTTTAAGGTTGTTATACGGGTAACCGCGTCTGTCACTCCGGATCTCTCCCTTAATGTT